ATTTTGTGGTACTGGGCATCATTGGTCCCAGGCATTTGCACGAGCTACATCCCCAGTCCTTTATTTTTTTGAGACAGTCTTGCTAAATTGCCCAAGTTGGGCTCAAATCTGTGATCCTCCTGACTCAGCCTCCCAGAGTTCTGGGATTATAGATGTGTGCCACCATTCTTAGCAAGAAGTTGTATATCCCTCCTCGTCCCGCACCCCACTTTTGAGTAACTCTCAACCCTGTGTGAACAGTTTTTAGGACCCTTTGCCTTGCTTTGTAGAGTTTTACCTTATTCACGTGTAGCTTAGTATTTAGCCAAAGACTAAAGGGAGCTTCTACAGATCTTGGTCATTTTTCCATGGTGTTCTCTCCTCTGTAGTTCTGCACTGTAGTTTCCAGCTGTCTTAGCCTCCTCACACTCCAATATCTATGTCTACGTAGCTTGGGTTCAGCAGAAACCTGGTGTTTCCCTTCTTTCTGGGAACACAAAATCTTGGATTTCCTTGTTGGTTAGTGTCTGAAAACAGTTGTTTCATACCCCCTAACCCCCAGTATTCTGGTTATGGTTGGAGGACTAATCCAGTAGCAATTGCTGTCATACCTAGAAAGTCTTAATTTTATTTATAGTATTTTCCATCATACAGAAACTTTTTTTTTTTGCAGTGCTGGGGATTGAACCCAGGACCTTCACACTGAGCTACATTCACTGTCAACCCTTGCTTATTTTTGAGATAGGGTCTTGCTAAGTTGCCCAGTCTGGGCTCAAACTTGAGATCCTTCTGCCTCAGCCTCAGAAATTTAATTTTCATGTAATTGTTCTTAAACAATCTTTTTATTATTGTCTTTGGCAGTTGTTTAAAAGACTTTACTACCTGCAAAATAGCCAACTGTATTTTCTTTTAATACATGCTATAATATTTTAACTATTTAAATGTCTATTCATTTTAAAAAATAGAATTAAAATGTAAGGTAAATATCTGTTTTTCTTTCCCAAATATGCAAAGTGTTCAAGTCCTATTTATGTAATAATCTATCCTTCCTGATTTAGATTCTGCATTTATAATACACTAAATTGGCCGAGTATGGTGGTGCACACCTGTAATCTCAATACTTGGGAGGCTGAGGCAGGAGGATCACTGAGTTTGAGGGTAGCCTGGGCTACATAGTGAGTTCAAGGCCAGCCTGAACTACATAGTGAGACTCTGACTCAACCCCCCCCCCAAAGTGTAACACACTTAATTGTTGTGTATTCTTGATCTTATTTGGGGGCTCTCTATTCTCCTTTATTGATTTGTCTAATCTAGTGCTGTTATCACCAAATAGTATCACTGTTTTTATCATTAAGGCCTTATAATTTATACTTTTAACCATCTTACTCTAAATCAATGCTAGGATCATTTTTGTTATATTCTAACTTGGTCTTTAAATACAGCTCTGAGAGCTTAATTTATGGGTTAATTTGCAGAGTACCTAGTGTAGAATGTGCATTGTATTTTACCATCTAGGAACTTAATGCTTATTTACTCACATTTTCTTTTATATCTTTTAATAAACGTGTCTAGTTTCTAGGCATTGTTTATTTCTTTATAATTTTTGTTGCTATTGAACATTTTTATTGTTTATTCCTAGGTAACTTAAAAGTTTTTCTGCTATGTACTTGTGTTTGTTTTTCTAACTGGTAATTAAGTCTAAAGGTTTCAGTTTGAAGAATATGAATAGGGGATTTAGCTCAGTGGTTTTGCTGCCTGCTGCGCAAGAACAAGGACCCAAGTTCAATCCCCGGTACCAAAAAAAAAAAAAAAGAATAGAAGGTTCAGTGTTATTCATGTCAATATAATGCTTGAAGTATTTCCATAATACAGTTCTAGTTTCTAAGTATATTCTATGAGGCCTTTATTCTGAGTGTGGCTACTAAGGTTTTTTTCTGTCAATGATGACACTCCCAGCCCTGCTTTAGCCTCTTGATGTTGTCTTTCTCATCACAGCCAGACTTCTTATGTATCTGGAAATAATACGAAATTAAAAGTTCAAGGGCCGGGGATTCAGCTCAGTGGTTTCGGTTGCCTGCTGCGCAAGCGCAAGGACCCGAGTTCGATCCGGTACCAAAAAAAAAAAAAAAAAGTTCAAACCTCTATCTACCCTTCCACTCCTGTCTCCTGTGGTTTTGTTCCCAGAGATGACATTTGTCATATATCTTTAATACTTTCTTTTGTGCTTATATAAAATGTTTTAAGAATTACATAGCTTTAAAGACTTTTGTTTTATAAAAACTATCATCTCATATATAATTGTTCTGTAATACACTCTTTTTTGAGACAGGGTTTTGCTATGCAGTTCAGGCTGGCCTTGAACTCACTATGTAGCCGAGGCTGGATTTGAACTCTCCTGAGTGCTGAGATTATAGGTGTCTGCCACTATACCTAGCAGCTCTTTTTTGTTGTTGAATATATCCTGATACTCTAACTACTGAACTACTTATAGATTCAGGAAATTGCAGAACAGTACAAAGTGTCCTATGAACCCTTCACTTAGCTTCCTCTAGTGATAATATCTTAAGTAGCTGTAGTTCAATATCAAAACCAGAAAATTTATATTTGTAAATTACTGTTAACTAGACTACAGACCTCATTTAATTTTCACCTTAAAAAAAAAATCTGTGTCCACCTGGAGATGTGGTACACACCTGTAAACCTAGCACTCAGAAGCCTGAAGATAGAGGATCACAAATTTGAGTCCAGCTTGGGCAACTGAGCAAGACTCTCAAAAAATGAAAAGGGCTGGGAATGTACCTCAGTGGGAAGGCCCAGGGTTCAATCCCCAGTACTGAAAAAACCAAAAATCTGTATTTATTTGTGCATGTGTATATATATTTCTGTGCAATTTTAATGACATACAGGTTTGTGTAATCACCACTGCAATCAAGATTTAGAACTGCTGTATCACCATAAAAGAACTCTCTGTGCTTTGTATTTGCACCCCCTACACACGCACCCACCACTGTCCTGTCCCACATGTGTGCTCTTCATCTCTAGCTTTTTGACATTTGAGCTTGTTATGTAAGTGGAATAATATATGTAACTTTAATACTGACCTTTTTTTGGCACTGGTGTTATTCTGAAAACTATTCTTTATAACTTAATTCTAATTTTCTGTGTAATAACCTTTTAGGAACTAGGAAATTGGAATTCACTTTCTACTTAATCTCCCCCCCACACACACAGTAGCCCCAACACCTTTATTATTCTCACAGCAGCTGCTGTTCAGCTCCAACACATTGGTGCTTGACCCTGTGTTTCCACATCTTTTAATTTTTTAAATTTTGTTTTTGTGATACTGGGGATTGAACTCCTGGTCTTCTCACTGAGTTATATCCCCAACCCTTTTGTTTATCATCTTTTAATTTTTGTTTGTTTGTTTATTGGTTTTGAGATAGGGTTTCACTATGTAGCTCAGGCTGGTCTTGAACTCGAGGTGATCCTCCTGCCTCAGCTTCCCAAGTACTAGGATTACAGGCATGCACCACCACACCTGGCTCATCTTTTAATTTTTAAGGGCAGCCAGACATTTGGGTTTTTGTGTGAAATCTTCCACACAAATTTTGTGAAGTAATAAATTTTTAGAAAAGCTTTTTATTGAGATACAACTTAAATATGGAAAGTGTAGACAGATACTATAGGTATACAGCTTAATCCATTTTGTAAATTGCACTACTTTTGTTTTGACACAGGGTCTAGCTATGTAGTTTAGACTGGCCTTGAATTCACTGTGTAGCCTAGGCAGGCCTGGAACTAACGGTGATCCTCCTGCCTCAGCCTCCAGAGTGCTGGGACAACTGGTGTGCACCACCACGCCCGGTTTGAATTACTTTATGTAGCCCAAACAAACTGGACTGACTTGCAAGCAAGTCAGGTTTGCAACTGAAACTAAGACTATTTGGAGAATTTAAATAATTAAGAATCATCTTATAGGTAAAAGTGTCTTAAGGAAATGTTTTAGCTGAATGCATTGTATGGGCTTCATTGGGGTTACGATTCAAAGAAATCAAAGGTAAAGAACATTTATGGCTGGATGTGGCAGCACACACTTATAATCCCAGCACTCTGGTAGGCTAAGGCAGGAGGATCACAAATTCAAGCCCAGCCTGGGTAATTTAGACAATTAGTGAGACCCTATCTCAAAATAAAAAGGATGGGGATGAAGCTCAATGTAAAGGTCCTGGGTTTAATCCCAGTACTACAAAAAAAAAGTTATTTTAGATATGATAACATTTGGGTTTGTTAAACAGGGTTTATTTTGTTTCTCAAATAGACTTTATTTTTTTAGAGCGGTTTTAGGCTCATGGCAAAAATGAATGGAAGTTACAGATAGTCCTTTGCCCCACATACACACAGTCTCCCCTACTGTCAACATTGCACCAGAGTGGTGCACTTAGTTGTACCATTCACTGACACATCATTTTCACCCAAAGCCCATAATTTACATAAGGATTCATTCTGTGTTTTTTGACAGGTGTATAATGACTTTGTTTACCTAGATAATATCATATATGATCATTTTTTAAAAGTATTCTTAGCAGCATGCACTGAACAATTAATGTAGGAAGTGAGATGATTCTGGAATTTGCTTCAAAATAATTTCAGAATAGTCTGGAAAGTGAAGTATAAATGAAACATGATTGGCCATGTGTTAAATTGTTGAAGCTGACTAATGGTACATGGGAGTTTATAATATTGGTTTATTTTTGTATATGATTAAAATTTTCCATTTTGTAAAAATAGAACAAAAGTCCAAGCAACGGGCCGGGGATTTAGCTCAGTGGTTCCGCCGCCGACCTCGCTAGTGCAAGGTCCCGAGTTTGATCCCCAGTACCAAAAAAAAGAACAAAAGTCCAAGCTAGAGATGAAGCATAATTTTTCTGAATCCAAGATAATAGGACACACTGCTGGTGATGATGTAAATTCTGGAACCGAAGTTCATAAAAGCAATGGCATTTTCTTAACTTCATTTATAGGGCCTGAGAGTCAATATACTAAGACTGCTCAGGAGATTGTGAACATCTGTTACCAGACATTGACTGAGGTAGGTGGTATGGAGGAGGTCCCCTTGCATCTAACTCTCTGGAATCTTTTTGTTCTTTTGAGTAGGGAGCCTTTCTACTTTACCCTCACTCTACAGCCCCTGATTCCTTCCCTACTTTATTTATTTTGATTATCTGTGTCTTGACACTAGAATAAAACCTCCATGAAGACAGAGATATTTTTGTCTGTTTTGTTTACTTCTGTATTCCCAGTGCCTAAAATATATATTGAATCAATTCATTAATCATCTTTCTCAGTATGATGAGCATTTGACTCAACTTGAGAAGGATATATGTACAGCTAAAGAAGCAGCTCTGGAGGAGGCAGAATTAGAAAGCCTAGACCCAATGACTCCAGGTCCCTACACACCTCAGGTGAGTCTAAAGACTAGGAATTCTTCTCATATTTTTCTTATTGGTTTGGGATTTGGGAGCATGTTAACAGATGTATTTACTGAGATACCATTCTTTTCTGTCCTTCCTCTTCTTATGCCTTTCGTGTGCTTTCTTGTCATCTCAAAGGCTAAGGTGAGTGAGAGCCGCGGGTCTTGGTAGCCTTGCTGAATCTGGAAGAGGCTAAATGAGTGGGATGGGGCCTTAGTTGTTTAGGAATTTGGGAATTTCTGACCAGATTTCTGAGTGCTATAGCCAGAGGGATTCTTTTGAGTTTCTCTAGTTCTCTTATCCATAAATTTTGGGGTTTTAGGACATCCTCTGGAGTGTAGGTTGTTCAATTACAGATATGGGCCTTATTATTCCAGTGTATTACAGACACGTGATGACTTGTTCCCTTAGAAGTATCTCAGTATGCTCAGATGTCACCCATTTTCCTAGATTGACTCCCCCTCTTAGTAATAATGACAGGAAATATTTATAATGTTCTTAAATTTACATGTCAAAGACTAGAGAGCAGGATAAATAAGAAGTTTCTAGTCTTTCTGATATGATTGAACCCTTGAATATACTGATTATATTTCCTGTATGTTATATTCTTAGAGGGTTGGCATATTTGAATAATAGTATTTACCAGAATATACTGGTAACTGGTACTTGGTTTCTGTATTGGAGACACTCTGGTAGAGAGGGAAATACATGAGGTTTGACATAAAACAGGTCTGGGTTTGACTCTTAGCTCTGCCACTGTCTAGCTTTGTGATCTTGGGAAGTTAACTTAACCTCTCTAACTCAGTTTCCTTTTCTCTAAAATATACTATTCAAGACTGTTGTAAATATTACACAAGTTAATTTTCCTGGCACATAGTATAAATATTTGTTTCAGCCTCCATAAAAATTATCTACACAGTCCTCAGAATCTTTCAAATTTAACCAGATCTTTGAAGAATTCTCCCAACACTTATGGGAATATTTTTTATTCTACCCAGGTTTCACTTAGAATTTATAATGCAGCCCATCTAATCTCTGTTGGATGATTGCTGTCTCTGTGTCTCATTCATATACTTTCCCTATCTGTCTTTTACTCTCTTTCATCCCAAAACCTAGGTTACTGAGGGTCCAGGTATAAAGAACCCTCAGATACATCTTCAAGGTCCAGAACAAGGAAAGGCTCTTGGCTTGGAGTATGTGGGCAGATTGGGTCAAGGGGGATTGGGTGAGTGGTGTTGCCCAGGAAGGCCCTATTTGGTAACAGGCCCACAGCTTCCACAAGGTATTTTCTGGTAAGTTAAAGCCTGAGTATTAGCCATCCATCATTCTCCAGAGGAGTCTAGCCCCTGAATTACACATGGTTTGCTGACATCTAGCAAAGTCTGAGCCTAGTGCTGTGGTGAGTTAAAGCCTTGGGCCCAAAAGTCATTTTCCTTTCTTCCCTACCCCTCCCATACTACCTCAAAAGGCTGAGGACTTACCTGTTCTGCTTCCTGAGCAGTAGCTGTTGTTTAGAACAGTTAGAATGTTTCCTATGCAGAGTAAGGTACAAATACTACTTCATTTTTCTAGTTCACCCTCTTAACATTCCCTCCACTCATACATGCACATTTTAAGATAGCTCAACTCATGGCCTCTTAACCTGTGGAAGATACACATGAGTAACTATCCTTGCTCATTACTATCAAAACTCAAATGTTATTAGAAAAGTTTGCAAAAGTTTAACCTGTCATAATACAATTTGGGTTTATATAGAAGCATGACAGTAATCATACCTTATTTATGACTTCTAAATGGTGTTAGTCAATAGTGTATTTTCACTTGCCTATTTCCACCTAGCTTGTATTGTATCATATATTCAGTAATATTTCAAAATTGGTCACTTTCACAATTTCCCATACAGTCCTTACTTTCCATAGTAGGCTTTAAGAATTTGCAAAAATTTCATTCCCTCATTTCCCTTCTTCTGTTCCACACTGGTTTATCTGATCTTTAATGCTGTGAATTGTTTTACCTTTTTCTCCAAAACCCTCTAGTTAATCAGTCTTGCTTGTTTACTTTTAAAAAACACAAAAATAACAAAATCTATGTTTTCTGTTCATCAAAGTAACATTCACAGGGTGAAATTGGAAATACAAACAAGAAATAAGTTACTATCAGTTTCACAACTCAGAAAGAACATCAGTCATTAGTTGTTTTTTTTTTAATATGTGTGGTTCATGTTTGTATGTTTATAGATACTTTAAAATGAAATTGAGCCAGGCTTGGTGGTGCATTCCTATAATTCCACCACTCAGAGAGGCTGAGGCAGGAAGTCACAAGGTCAAGCCCAGCCTTGGGCAACTTAGCAAGACCTCAAAATAAAAAGACTGGGGATGTAATTCAGTTCAGAGGCCCTGGGCTCAATCCCCAGTATTGCTTAAATAAATACATGAATGAAATGAAATGAAATTGATCAGCAGGGTTTTGTGTCTTGTTCTTTTCACTTCGTTATGAGCATTTTGTCTGGTCCCTTTTATCATTGAATAGTCCATTTGTTAAATCCTTTTTTCCAGGGGAGAGATGAGGAAAGGGATCTATAATTTATCGAGTACTATGCATTGGGTATGCATATCTCTTCTCACAACCCTGTAAGGTAAATTATCACCCATGTTTTATACTTGAGGAAGCCAAGGGGTTAGAGAGATTAAGTAATTTGTTAAAGTTACTCAGTTTACAAGTGGTGGAGCCGGAACTCAAACTCAGGGCAATTTACTCCAAAGCTCATGGATTTTCACCATGCTCTTTTGTAGCATCCTCTGATGAGCTTATGAATTGTCAACATATTCCATGCTCTTACTGGAATTGAAATTCCTTTATCCTATTTCCTCTTAAATGTCTCTAAATCAAACATTCCAAATAGCACTGGTATGAAGCCCTGGGCCTAAAAACAATAAGACAAGACTAGAAAAAGGTAGGTTATTGGCCAAAGAGACTGCTAGAATATAAAATTGTCCCTTAGTTTCGATGTATTTCTGCTTTAGGCACTCTCTTTCTCTTTCTCTGTCTACCCCCCCATCCCCCACCCCCAATGCCTATATGCTAGAATAGGCAACATTTGTAAGATTCTAAGAAAAAATTTGTGCATAAGACTGTTCCAGACTTAAGTTTTCTCTTTAACTGGGTTATTCTGCATGACCTTTTCCTGCAGTGAATGTTCCAAAGGGGAGCACTCTGTATTTTTCCTTCCCTTGGTAGAAGCTAAATTTTACATTTTGTGCCACAGCCTCCTGATTTGTATGATACCAATACATCTCTCAGTATGTCTCGAGATGCCTCTGTATTTCAAGATGAGAGCAATATGTCTGTCCTGGATATTCCCACTGCTACTTCAGAAAAGCAGGTAACACAGGTAGGATACTGTTTTTCTCTGTGTGAGATTGGTAGTATGCCTGGAGGGTGAGGGTGAATGTTGGAAGTGATATATGATACACATCAAGGATGTCTGGGCCCCCTGGCCTTGGTAATGAAGGCTTAGAAATGTGATTTCAGTTGGAGGGGGAGAAGGGTTGGCAGGTCACATGACTGGTATAGTCATCTCTGTCCCTGTGGACAGAGTCAAGCACAGTAGAACTTGAGGGGAAGGTACAGTGTATATAAGTATATGAGGCATTAGAGCGTCCTAACAGGTAGCTAGAAAAACCAACTATATTCAGAGTCAGAGTTAAAAATAATAGGCCTGCTACTTTATGGTACAATCCAAATTAATTTTTTTTTTTTTTTTTGGTACCGGGAATCGAACTTGGGACCTTACGCTTGCAAGGCAGGCGCCAGAACCACTGAGCTAAATCCCCAGCCCCTCAAATTAAAATTTTATAAGGTTAAATTTTTTAAAAGAAGTATCAGAAGATACTCCTAGTCTGAAGCCTGAAATCTTGTAGCTATTCTTAGTCAGGGTTCCACTGGAGAGTGCAAAACCCAGGAGGGTTTTTCTGTCTGAAAGAATCCAACACAAGCTATAACAAAAGCTTAGGTTAGAAAGGAAATATATCCTTGTGATATAGTAAGAGTAGACCAAGGACCTGCCTGTTCTTTGTTTTTCTTAACCCTGGCCTTGATTTCCAAAGAATGACTGGGGGAAAATGCACATGCCTTGAGCTGTGTAAACAGCCCCCACTAGCAGTGGAGTTGGCTGAGCTATCAGGGAGGAGCATCCGTCCTGGGTGAAGAGCCCTTGGTGAACTCCTCCTACGGGCACGTCCTACAGTGATGTGCTATTTGTGTTCCTTACTCAGATGTGCCAGGGCCGAGATAGGCTGGGTGAGGAAGACTGATGTAGATATTGAAGGGTATGATGATGAGGAGGATGGGAAACTTAAGACTCCAGCCCCAGTGAGTATGCTTACAGAAAGCTTATGGTTATGTTATACCTTTATGTAATAGAAACCCCAGCAGTACAGGGCAGGCCAAATCCCCAGGTGATATCAGAGGGTCTGTAGTGAGCCTCTGTCTGACTTTAATCCTTGGGACCAGCTAAACAAGTCTGTCCCCCAGAATTACTTAACTTTTTGTGAGGCAGCAGGGGTCGGGGTCAAGGGGCTGGTGGTGGCAGCTTCTGGTCTCTTACTTGGTTAGTTGATGGGACTTTGACCCTATCCGGTCTCATTCAGGAAGGTGAAGATGGAGATGGAGATCTTGCAGATGAAGAGGAAGGAACTGTACAGCAACCTCAAGCCAGTGTTCTATATGAGGATTTGCTTATGTCTGAAGGAGAAGATGATGAGGAAGATGCTGGGAGTGATGAAGAAGGAGATAATCCTTTCTCTGGTAAGTCTTGCTTCTTTGCTCCTGCTCCTATATAGCTCACTATAGTGCCCTCAGGATTGGATAGGAAACTCTTGTCCACATATATTATCAGAAGTTACCTTATTTATTTATTTATTTATTTGGTACCGGGGATTGAACTCGGGTCCTTGTGCTTGCGGGGCAGGCAGTTGCCTTTTTTATTGAAGTCCCATTAATAGACCTGAAAGTACTGAGAATTCAATTATAGGATGATTATGTCCATGAGCTTTAAAGGAAGTAAAAAGAACAAAAGATGACAGTGGAAAAGGCAATGCCAAAGTAGCAACTTTGATTTGGATACTTGCTAAAGAAGAGAACAAAGTGTTATGAGTGGAAATAGGGAAGGAAAAGTAAGGAAAAAGATCCTGTTTGGAGGTACTTTCTGGGTTAATGGGGAGAATGTATTAGAGGAGATGGAAGAAAACATGAGTTGGACTGAGATGGAGAAGGGGAATTGTTATTTGGATTCAGTTTCTAAACTATAGACCTTGCCATTGTTGCCTCTACACAGTTTACAAGAGAGGTTTCTGAAGTGAATGATATAGGCAAGATGCCTGTGTAGATGTGTGCGGGGACTAGTTTTGCAAGACAAATCTAAAGATGTTAATTCTATTTGAGCATGATGGCACAAGGCTGCAACTCCAGCATTCTTAAGAGGCTGAGGCAGGAAGATTAATATAGAGTTTGAGGCCAGCCTGGACTACATACATGAGTTCAAGGCCAGCCTGGACTGTGTAGTGAGATGCTGTCTCAAAATAATGTTAATTAGGGCCGGCGATTTAGCTCAGTGGTTTCGCCACCTGCTGTGCAAGTGCAAGGATCCAAGTTCGATCCCCGGTACCAAAAAAAAAATGTTAATTCATCGAGTGTGGTGGCACAAGCCTGTAATCCCAGCATTTGGAAGATGGAAGCAGGAGGATCACCATGAGCTCAGGGCCAGCCTAGGCTACATAATGAGCTCAAGGCCAGCCTGAACTACATAGAGACCCTGTCTCAAAAAACAAAAACAAAAAACAAACAAAAAAACCCCACAAGGGCTGGGGATTTAGCTCAGTGGCACCGTACCTGCCTCACAAATGCAAGGTCCTGAGTTCGATCCCCGGTACCACCCCCCCCCAAAAGTTAATTCTGTCAAGCTTATCTTTTTTTTTAAAGCTTCTGTCTTAACTAGAATCTGTTTTTACAGCTATTCAGCTTAGTGAAAGTGGAAGTGACTCTGATGTGGGATCTGGTGGTATAAGACCCAAACAGCCCCGTGTGCTACAGGAGAACACAAGGATGGGCATGGAAAATGAAGAAAGCATGATGTCCTATGAGGGAGACGGTGGGGAGGCTTCCCATGGTTTGGAGGATAGCAACATCAGGTAATCGGCAGCAACATGCTTCAGGGCTGTGGCATTAATGGCCAGCTATGATGTCAAAGGGCCCAGCAGCAGATTGCTTTCATCATCAAACATTTCCTAAGGACCTACTAGGGCCAGGCACTGTGCTAGGCCCTGGGGATACTCAGAGGAGCAAGATATATCCTGCCCTAGAGGAGCATTCTTGACAAAAACAAATCATTACAGTGTGGTAAGTACTAAAGCATAATTAAATACAGAGTTCCAAGGCACCACTCTGAGGGGGGAACATCTCGCTTTGCTTGAAGTAATCAGGGAAAGTTTCACAGACAAGGGAACATTTGAACTGGGCCTTAAAGCTTGAATAGGAGTGTACTATAGATACTGTGTCAGCAAGTGAGTAGATGAAACAATATATTGAAGGGTACAGAAATATAACATGAAGCATGTTCCACAGCAAAGGGAAGTTGTTGGAGATTTGAGATCCTAAAAGTAGCAAAGAATTATATTGTAGAGGACCTTAAATAGCATCCTTAAGACACTTGGAGTTTGTCCAGTAGGTAGTAGGAATCATCACTTTAAGGAAAGGGAAGTAACACCAACTTTGTATGTTAGCTTTCTCCTAGGGTAAAGTGGGACAGATGATGAGGATATCAACAGGGATTTGTCAAGAAAGGGAGAAAATGAAGAGACATTTATTTAAGAGTTATTTAAAAGGTAGATAATTAGATTTAGGAAATAGATGAATAATGAATGGGAATGTCACTGAGAACGAAAACAGGAAGAACAGGTACTAGATGGGGTAGAAAAGGAGGGAAAAAGGAATTTACTACCAGCAGTTTTG